ATTATTATGGTATCAGATGTCAAGTGCATGACAAAATGCAAGTCTTCATATTATATTAATATACTGCCATACAGTACATTAATATAAAGTGTGTGAATGATAAACTTTATGATATACAATAAGAAAAACCCTTTACAAAATTTAATTAAAAACTTGAATTGTTTAATTTAAACATACAAAATAAACATAATAAGATATAGGCCTACATTCAAATAATCTAGCATTCACTTGTTAGTAATTGTGCCACTTTTGTTTCAAAGTTTTGTTATAAGACAGTTTGTAAAGCCTGCTCTAAAGTCAAAAACGAACTGATAGTACCATAATCTATTGTCAAAGTTTGTTTTTCTATTTCAAATTAAAAAAAACAACTTATGACCTGCTTTTTAAAAAAAGTACGCTTTTGTTATAGAAAAAGATTTGCACTCAACTATAAAACATAAGCCTTCATTTAATGTATAATGATATAACAGACCTAAATTCAAAATTGTAAATAGCTTGTCATTCAATAATTACTTGGTATTATAGAGCTGATTTCTTTTTAATTCAAACATCATCTTTTACCTCAAAATGACATCTTCCATAGCTTATTGACCATTTTTCTGTCAGATTGTTTACTTCTATTTGTTCAATAAAATATATAAAGACGCCCTAAAATTTTAATTAAGAGTAAACTTTTTTTAGGACAGTAACCTTTCCAAAATTGCTCCGAACAACAACCATACACAGGCCAACTACAGGTGGGATCTGGGAAAAAACAGGTGGGATGAGATACAAGACAGGTGCTAACTATCTGTACACCTGGTTTCATAAAGTGTTAGGTTATTGCTTTGAGCAAAGTATATTTAAGTTTGTACATTAATTACAGTATAAATTATCTATGTTATCGTTGAAGTAAACATGCATCCACTACAAATAATAAAAGGTTTTAAGATTTCTAAGCTTTAAAATGAATGAAAATAATACATTTTATTAAAAATAAGAGACGTGGAGTAGAAAATCAGGAGTTAGCAATGATGCTAAACAAATCTTTGGCCTTATATCATCATCTTTAGGTCAATGCTGTCGACAGCACATGGTTTATTTCCATATTTAGTCAAATGGTTGTAAATTGCTGTTATGTACATGTTTGAAAGACTGAATAATGTAATTAAATTAAATAAAAAAGCCAGGCTCAGGCTCAGGCTCCAGCTCTGGAGGAAAAACATTTTTTGATATGTTGTACCACTGATTTTTCTAAGACACTTGAGGGATGTTTGAAAAAACAAACTGGGAAAGGTTTAATAAGACAGAGTTTTGGATTTCAAAATTGGGGGGAAAAGTGGGGAGGGGATAACCACTCACTTTTTCAGTCAAATGTAATCAGAGCAAGATGTGGCTAAAAGACCATCCTATGCAAGATATTCTTTCAAGATGAATGATATTTTACAGTAGGCCTACCTTGTATGTTTTAAGAAGATTTTCAAAACTTTTAATTGCCAAGCAAGATCTGCTTCCAGATGTTTTATAATTCATGAACCCATTGTCATAAGATATCCAGAGGAAAAGGAAGAGCACTATACTGTCACTAAAGTAGTATCTAATCATTCTATTCTAAGTGTTATCAACAATTAAACTCAAAATAGAAAATTACTATAAAATGTTCACAATTCACAATAAAAGCCAAAGTGAATGTTATTGAACAACATACTTCATATTTTTTAATAATAATAATGATAATTTGGATTTGTAAAGCGCAATTCTCATCTTCACTTAACTTGACATTTTTACGTTAGTTTAAATCAACTTTATCACAAAAATATTTTATTCTGATTATGTATTTCCTGAATATCTATTTGCTTTTATGAATACATTTATTATCATAGGGTAAGAATAAAATTAGAAAGAAAAAAAGGGTATTCCATCAATTATGACGATGTGCATCATCCAGCGACTAGACCAAGTACAAAATTTAACTTTTAAATCTACAAAGATAAAAGTTGATTATTGGGCAATACAAATTTTCTTATCTTCTACATTTTCTAAGATTATGTGGATACTACTTAAGATCATATTGAGGGGGTTGGGATACTTAACGTGAACTATTCAACCTGATCTTCCTCACTTCAATACAGTCCACATACAGTATCCTTCGCAAACAAAAGGTCTTATACTTAATAATAGAAGTGTTTCAGTTATATCCAAGCTTAATAGGCCCTTACTATCTGACTATGCTAGATTTTCATAGCCTGCACCAGGATTGTTCAGGGTAAGGAATGTAACTGTAACTGAAAAAGGAAACAATACCTTAGTTGAAGTTTTCCTATCGGTGATCCCTCTGAAGAAACCAGAAATCCAAAGACCAGATGAGAGCAGAATTTATTGTTATGAATAATCCATGCGATATGCATACATGGTGTGATTTGAACTTTTAAAGATATTCAAACAATGAATTTGAAGTAGCATAAAATAAATACCAAAATATAAGCATAAAAAATGTAATTAATTTGTGCAGAATTATTTAAACAAAACTAAATTCATTTGATCCGGTCAGCGCATGCAGTGGCAGAGCCAAAAAACTAGCTCTTAGTGGACCCCAATGGACCCCAGCATACTGCCCTATCGTCATGCGAACACCTGCGTGTGGAGGGCCTCAGGAGACAACTGTGCCGTCCTGATATCGCATGATTCACCATTGTATGTTCATTTACTCATATTTATTTAATTATTTTTATTTATATTTATTTATTTACTTATATATTTTTTCCTTTTCTTTCCCTTTTGACCACGACATATGAGTGTTGTACAACACATTATGCGAGTATACTCAACCGAGGTTATGCACAATAACGGAAGATGATGATGAGGATGATAAAAATAATGAGTGATGAAATGATAAAACAATAACCAATACAAATAATAATCATTTTTAAACACTGATAAAATGGTAACAGGAAATTATTAGATTTCTAACATCAAACTAGCACACCTGATTTTGTAATGCTATCTTGAAAGGTTCATGAAGGTACTACATTTTTAGCCATGAATGTTACATTTTTGTGGTGCTTGCCCTCAAATGCCATGGTCTTGAAGCTCAAATCCTAAAAACGTTGGTTTTAAAAATCACTTGAAACTATCATATTTTCTCTGAGGAACATTGTAAAATCTGGGTATAGAAATGATTCAGCAATGCATCTTAAAACAACCCCAAATTGCTGAGTTTCTGTAAATGCCACTTTCTTCATGACCTGGATCCCACCCAGGGTTTCATCCCTAGGCCCAGTTGACATCTGCAAAAAGCTGTCAGACCCTCCCTGTCATATAGAATTTCCCCATCCACTGTATACTTTGTGTATTCTTTTCTTTCTGAGCAACTAATTATAAAATTGAAAGATGACAAGCAACTTTTATGAAAGAAATAAGAGGACAGATATAAGTCATAACATTGACTCACAAACCAAGCTACTAGTAATGAAAATCATCTCTAATCCCTCACCGGAATAAGCACTTTGCACAATGAGGAACTGATCATCCTAAATAGGGACCAGATGAAGAAGGGTGCACTACTTATGATATCCAGGTTAAACCTGTTCTCATAGGTTACAGTATCATCAAACAATATGCTTTCATTGACCAATCAAGAATACTTTCACATTAACCATTGAAAAGATAGTTGCTAATAATAGAGAAGACATATTCAGTGCACCTCTTTCATCATCTTTATATATATATTTTTTTTACACAGAGTGCAATCAGACTTTAGAAGAGGCATCAAATCTAATGGTAGATACCCAAGGATTAATGCTCAACAATTAGTTAACATCCTAGAAAACTGGGCTGCTAATAGTGGCATGTATCTAATGAGAATAATAATTATTATTTATAAAGGAATATATATGTAAAATCTGAATATGCAATGTCTACAATATGTTATACCAAAGAACTTAAATAGCAGAAGAATGAGCTGCTCCGCGTATTTGCATTAAAATCGATGGAATATTTCGCCCTCCTGCGCTTGCAGTAAAATCTGAACATTTTACTAAGTGGAGAAACTAAAGGAAACAAGCGAACAAGAGCAGCGCCTTTATTATTTTTATATAGCGCCGCCGCGTGGTTGCAGTAAAATTGCTCTCCGTCTACCCACAATGCCTTTTGAATGGATGTTCCACTATATTGGAAGCTGCTCTATCTTCTGCTATTTATTATCTTTGGTTATACTGCCTGTTCATTCAATGGTAATAATAATAATTTGTTAGTTAATTAATAATTGTGAATAGTGAATGACAATATTTTTTATATATAGTTTATACATTTTTTATACGTTCAACTTTGACATCAATTTATCTGAGGAAATATTGATGTCCCTTTTTTATCGAAATATATATATTTACCAGTTTACTGTATGTGCTTTCGAATGTCTTAATAAATCCATAAATGAATGAAAACAAATGATAAACGTTGAGGGTGCAAGACAGCAACCGTTAACTACTATATATTTTTGATTAGTAAATTAATAAAAAATGATTATGCAAATTATATTCTAGATGCAACTGCCATAATGAAACATTAATCTAAGTCTTCATATTACATACATAGACGGTGTCATTATTTCTATCATCAGATCTAGTAAGAATTTCTTCTGGTTCATCAAGATTCATTCAAACAAAAATACCATACTATAAGAACAATTTAACTTTTTTAGTATGGTCAAAAATTCATGTAATTGTGCATTATTACATATTTTATAATTACCCTCCTCAACACTCCAAGTAGGAGTAAAGCAAGGACAAATTTTGGTTGTGTCTCCTTGTACTGTAAGCAGGCAGAGTACTATGCCAATAAAACAGCACATATAAAATAAGAAAAAAAAAATACTATATTTAATTCCAAGAAAATGGGGAAAAAAATCCCACTCAACATTGTACACAATATCACACATGAACTTCTGGACACCTGGTAATCTTACAACCTGGTCTTCTGAACACCTGGAATATCCAATCACCTGTGTTAACTAAGCCACTCACCTGTTGTGAGTGATCTATCCTTGCAGTTAACCTTTTATTTTCATCCATGACCTTTCGGAACTTTGATTGCGCATCAACAAGCAGCCGCCTCATCAACGCCAAATTTGATTTGAGCGAATCTCGCTCGGGTGGATGCGAGATACTTGTGTCATTTTCAGACAATTTTGGCGAGAAAATAAACTGGACTATTTGGTCGTTGAGTGTATCTAGAGACTGGATTGCTGAAAGACAGAAAGAAAATATATTGTTTATAATTTTCTTTAATGTTACGTGAAACAAGACTTTTACTGTACATGCAAACTGTAGTAATTGGAGCATACTGTATATGCTTTTATTAAACTTTATGGGAGAAACTCTAAGTATATTCTTTGATTAAAGGAGATCCGTGATTAAATGAAGTACTTATGTCATTAAATTTCAACAAATCTAAAATATAATTACTTCATTATACATATATAAAAACCTGTAATGTACAGTATAGAGAAAAGCATATTGTGCCTTTCCGATACCGTTCAGATATTCTACCGACTGAGCTATGAGGCAAAGTGGTACATACACTAGGGTATCCAAACAGTAATAAAAAAAAAAGTCTTGGGTTCAAATCCTGATGGGGACACTGTGTTTTTCTCTAAAATTAATTATCAGAAGTATGATCACTGTAGTTTTTAAAAAATCATTTGCAAAGAATAATCGCAATATTGATAGACAGAATAGAAACTGCTTTATGTTGTAAAACCCTAATGTTTATAATAAATTTATGTTTAAACAATAATAATAACCAAACACAAATGTTAAGTTAATTGTGCTTAATCCAACAGAATATAAAACAGTCTTTAATGAGGAAGTATTAATTTAGCAAAAGAAAAGGAAAACAAAAAGTACACAAAGCTAATCTTTCACAATAGAACTTTTTTTTACAGGAAATTTTCACTTAAGATTTCTTTGTTTAATATAGAAATGAAAGTACAGTACGGTGATCATTTTTGCTGTTTACCATTATTCTATTACAATGGACTTTACACCTGTAGGTATAATGCTCAACTTTGCATTTGGGCCACCCCTGTTTTTCAAGTGGTATAGCCAGAACAACCCCTTTTTCAAAAGTGGTTATTATCTTGGTACAAGTAGCATTTAATAATTTAAAGACCTGTCAACCCGTACGCATTCGCCGTAAGTCTTACACATTCCAATTAAATCTTACGGTCTTATGTAAACACCGGCAAAACTTACTCTTATCCTAAAATTTGAGTAAACTTTGTTTCTTTTTCAATTTGTAATGAATTTTACTATAACAAACATCTATAATCATAACATTCTACCTCCATGTTTCAATAACTACTATATCCGAGATCATTATAAACTCACTAGTATCGACTAGATATGCCATTTAAGCCAAATGGGCCTTAATCCCCTAGACCCCAATCGGGAACCCTTGACGGCCACTGGCCCCCACCCCTTGTTCGTGCTTTCGGCACTCATTATGTGCCACCTGATCTTACTCTTTATAAAATTTCTCAAGGTTGACAGGTATGAATTAATTCTCATGCTTTAAATATATTTTAACCAAAACTGATTAAAACATGAGCAAATTACAATTTTTTCCAATATTTCTAGAAACTCAAACTTAAAAATTTGGAATTCAATATAGATGTACAGTAGGCCTAATTGAAATAACCATATTTGCATATACAGTAGTATGAGAAACATTCAAATGGAAGGAGTAAAATAAAATAAAAATACAAATGATGAAAACTGTTCAACCATAGTGTCCCAATAAATACCCACTCACTACAATAATATAGTGGGAGAATTAGAAGTTACCTCTTATATATATATATAAGGGAGCTTTTCAATTTGTTTGACGGTGCAAGGCTAGAACGGAATCACTCATGCGTGATCGTCCTACGTTCTCTGCATACATAGATTTGGTCAAATTGTGTCTTAGAATCCACGCAAGAGAACTTAACGTTCTCGCATACGCAGATGACTTTTAGTGACACCATTACGTTCTACGTCCTACCGTCATGCAATCGAAAGCTTCCTAATATGATTGTCCATTGAGCGTTTAGCCGAGAGGTTATGTTCCTGCTACTTGTGCTGAAAACCCTGGTTCAGACCAGGCCAGTGTCGGATTTTAAATTGCTCTGCCCCTTGAATAACCCTTGCATGAAAGTTACATGGAATAAGGACAATGTATACGGCACTGACGCTGTGCTGCAGCTGCTGTGGGTTTCCCTGAGCCCAACCAAAATTTCCAATCCCTTATATTTCGAACTGTACAGAAAAAGAAAAATTTATTATTTTTAATTTATTTATGATAAAATTTAATAAAATAAAATATATATTCACCTACCAAGGATCAAACGACTATCAAAGGAACGGCTCATTTTTGGACCATCTAATGTACCTTTATGCACGATCTGCAACATGATGTAGCTGGGGTGCTCACAAAAGTAATCACTTTTACCAAATGAAGAGACAAAGAGTTTCACATGAAAACGATCCAATTCTTTCGATTCAAATTGGAGCCAATTCAAAACTCTAACACAGTGGCTTGCATGCTATCCTGAATTAACAGCGAGAACAAGTTACTAAGTGGCTTCCTTGTCTTGCTTTTAAATTACCACCTAAAACCTTGTTGAATTACTCAAGAGAGTTTTATGTTCGCAGCTGACTAGCCTGAGTATACATAAAGTAACATAAGGCTATGAAAATGAACAAAGCATGCGAAAATAAACATTCATTGCTATTAAGGACAGCATAATAATCTGAATAAAAAACAAATGTTGTCCAAATATTGATATGAGTTGTACTACAATAAACAGAAGCAAAAGCAGCACTTTAAGTATCACAAGCTTTCGTCCTTATTATCACAAGCTTTCGTACATAGAACAAACCCTCAGGTGAACTGCAACTAATTAAACACTTTGTGCATTAGAAATTGATGTTAAAAAAACTTCAAGTGTTCTGTTTTACTTTCAGGTACTCATGTAATTGCCAACAAAGATTAAACAAGTCAAAATTTAATGTAAATCCACAACTAATTCCTTTATTTTTCTTTCCGACTTCCCCAAATAAAAATTCAAATTGTCGATATTCAATTTTTGGAAGTGAAAATACAGAAATTTTCGTGTCTCAGGAAAGTATTTCAAACATTTTATCCAAAAATGTCCTGTTCACAATGCTATGTTTGAGTCGGTAGCAATTTTCCGCCAAATGCTAAGTTCAGAACATTAATGACCTCAAAATCTACGAAGTTATAACATCATTTGCCAAACATTTTTTAAAACATATGTTGTCAAATACACAAAAACAGGTTTATGACGACTGGAGCAAAAGATAAAACTTTAAAGGAAATAAAAATGCTTGTATCCGGCTTTAAAATATGCCACTGCACTCCTTCTGGAGTTGATGAATGATGATATTGCAAATGACATAAAGTACGACATTCAGTACAAATGCTATTACACTTGTTGTGCATCTGAAGTAATTTCGACAGCTGAGCGATTTTCACAGCAGAGAGTACAGTGGTAAAGCAATAACTGAATGTTTCTTCAACTCCTTTTCCAGATATAATTGGGAAATATGAATTTATAGATGTTTAATAAGCATGGATTTAAAACTTAACTTCCTCTTATAGAATTAATTGACGCCCAAGGCAACAGAGTTCAAAATATGCAATGTTATTCATTATACAAGACTGTTTACAATCTTGGAAAATGAAACAAACACATCAAGATGTGCACCAAGAAACAAAAACCACAACCTGAAACATTAAACTTAATGATATTCTGGAAAAAGCTTACACAAATATTGTCACTTGAGAGTACTGGAGATCTTTCCTCTCTATCATTCGTATCAATTGTACACGCTTTAATATGGATTATAAGTCTTGAAAATCATAGACATCCAACTTAATTAAATATAATTTACCAGACTGAAATATCTTCTCATTCCAATTTGCAGGCATAAAAACCATAACCTTACGCAAAAATCAGACAGTCACGTTGAATTTGACCTCATAGACCTTGTATGATCTACAGTATCACCAAGGAACGAACAAAATGCGATAATAGAAGTAAATTCAAATTTTGAAAAAAACCAGCTTGATTATCTGTCCTCCACCAGTGCTGCTATATCTTTGTATTGTTGATAATGCCATTTATTTCCTTAGCTCTCTTCCCTTCAAGATCTTTATTCAAGCAATAATTTTGCATAAAAAAGACAATCCGTCATAAAATTGACAACCCTGTTGATGTTATTGATTGGTGATATGAATATCACCACATTCACAATAAGGGTTGGTAGACATTTCCAAGTGTAAATCCACACCAAATAGAGAACAAAACTGCAGGTATTTCTGTGCAGAAAAACCATGTACACTGAAACCAATAGTTGGCACAAGTTAGTTTAAATGATACAGTAATTACCATATCACATTATGTCTTGCATTATCGAAAAAACTGTAAATGCATGAACTATGAATCCAAAACCAAGACCAGAATAGAAGTAACTGTTCTCAGAAACAATTTTGAAAAGATTTCCGAGATTAAGTAACATACTAAGTGGTTACTTCGGCAACTGAAGAGCTTATCAAACACAATGGTAATTATTTGCTGTCTTTTCCCGCTGTGTGGGTGTAAATTCTCTTGTGCGAAGACAATAAACTTCAACATTGACATTTAAAACAATCCTCCGTGCATATTTTCTGCAAATGAGGAGGTAATACTATAATTACCTACTGTACTGTAAGTATCCTTGAAAATATTTTAGGTCAGTAAATTTCATAATTATCATCTATTAGGTCATAATGTACAATGTTGAGATATCTCATCACCTGTCTGTATCTTCAGAAAGTAATTTCTGTTTTCGAAAACATTTGTCTTACTACCAATATGTATATATTCCACTTTCACATAGGCCTATTTATTATTATTATTTTGAATAGTGCTGTTTTATTAGTTGATGCATAACATAGATTTTTAAAAATTTGACTTTCCAACATGTTTTGGCTGTTCTCCGATACACGATTTGGGAGGAATGGCAGGTTTGGCTTGTCTTCACCACACTTAGTGCATTCAGTCTATCTCACTCATCCTGCATTTTTATTATACTTGTTTTTTTCTTAAAATTGTTTAGCTCTACATGGAATTGAAAACTCTGGCTGGACAACAGCTGACAAGTATCTGTTATTATAGGCAAAGTTAAAGTAACAGTATAC